TGCTGTGAGCTGCCAGTACCAGCTTCAGACCAGGCCTCTGCGTGGCACGGTGTGCCGGCGCTCGCACCCCACCGCCCGCTGCTTCCACCGCCTCGACGACCTCTTCCGTCGCCGCTTTGGTCCCGCCCCGGACCTCCCTGACTGGCCCAACTTGCTGCGTCACAGTGTGCCTGTGTTTGACTTAGACATGGATCAGATTAGTTATGCCTTGCATTCTCTGTACGCTGATGCTTCGAGTGTTTCCGAATCGTATTACTCTGTGTTCTCTAGCTTAGGCGTAGCACCTGTGTGTAGTCCAGACTCCCCTACTGCGTCAGGCGTAGGACAGCTTGCTTTGTCTAGCCTAGGCTCTACCCTTGCTCCTCCTTCGTCTGCCACTATGGCGTCGCTGTCCTTCACTCTCGACTCTGGTGCGTCAGCTTGTTTCTTCCGGGAACACGCCACCCTCACGCCGCTTGCTGCAAAAGCCGATGTCGCCCTTGCGGACCCCTCCTCTGGTCCGGTAGCTGCTCGCAGCTACACTACCCTTCCCTATCCGGCGGTTTCCTCGGGTTCCCTTACAGGCCTGCACATCCCTTCATTCTCCAGGAACTTAGTTGGTGTCGGCTGTCTTCAGGACCTCGGCGTCACCACTACGTTCCCTAGTCACGAGCAGTACGCGGTCTGTACCGAGACTGCCTCAGGTGCTCCACTTGCGACGTTCCCCCGAGACCCTGAGTCTGGCCTGTTTACGCTGGATACTGCTCCCCCTCCGGCGGGCGAGTCCTCCTCCGGTCCTGCGTTCACCCAGGTAGCTGCGGCCTGCTCGTGTCGGTCACTCACTCACTTGTCACTGTTGTGGCACCACCGCCTAGGTCACCCCACGCTCCCCCGCCTGCGTCACATGTCTCAGCACGGTCTAGTCCTCGGCCTCCCTGCGTCCCTCCCCGCTCTCCCTCCCTCGCCTGTGCCACCGTGCATGCCCTGCGTCGAGGGCCGGCTGCGCCATGCTCCTCACTCCTCCTCACTTCGCCCTGCTACTGCACCCCTTCAGACCCTGCACTTGGACGTCTGGGGCCCAGCCCCTGTCCCTGGACCGCGTCGCGAGCACTACTTTCTGGTGCTCGTTGACGACTTCACGCACTACACCACGGTGTTTCCCTTGGAGCGGAAGGCCGATATGCCCGACGTTCTTATCCCGTGGCTCGTTGCTGCGCTCCTCCACCGCGGTCTCCCTGTGCTGTGTCTCCACTCCGACAGTGGCGGCGAGTTCGCCTCTGGTCGGCTGGGTCAGTTCTATCGTGCGGAGGGTATCACGCAGACGTACACCCTTCTGGACTCCCGCAGCAGAATGGGGTCGCTGAGCGACACATCGGTTTGGTTATGGAGGTGGCTCGTACCTCCATGATCCATGCCGGTGCACCCCATTTTCTGTGGCCGTTAGCCGTTCGTTGCGCCGCTCACCAGCTTATCCTCTAGCCTCGCTCACAGCGGCTGCATGTTTCACCGACCCTTCTTTGGACCGGGTTCCGTGGTGACGCGTCTGCGTTCCACGTCTGGGGCTGCCTCCCTCACATTCGTGCCTCTGGCACGGACAAGCTCACTGCTCGCACCATCCCCTGTGTCTTCCTCGGTTTCCCCCTCGACTCGTCTGACTGGCACTTCTACCACCCGTCGTCTCACCGCTTCCTTCTCTCCCGTGACGTCACTTCCGACGAGTCTGTCTTCTTCTTCCATCGTTTTCCTTACCGAGGTCTTCCGGTTTCCCCCCCTCTGTTTCTGGTTCCCACTCCCCCGGTCGCCCCTGCTCCCCTCCCTCCCCCCCCCTGCTCCGTCCGGTGTGTCTCACGTCACTCCCCTCCCGTCGGTTGTCCCTGTCGAGGAGTCGGCTGATTCCGATGGCCCCGCGGCGTAGTTTGAGCCGCCTGTCCCTCTCCCGGTGTCTCCTCCTCCCTCGTCGCTGTCGCCGCCGCCGTCACCGCTACTACAGCCGCAGCCGTCGACGCAGCTGCAGCCGTTCGTGGACTCTGTGGGTGCTGGAGTTGGAGAGCTTGCTAGTCTTGGGGTTACTGTCGTGGCTTGTCCCGGCGAGCTCGGGGGTGTCACCGGCGCTGGAGACGTTACTCATTCTGGGGGTGCTGGTGTGGAGTGTACCGGAGGTAGCAATGGTGCAGCTGGTGGCCCAGGTGTCGGCGTTGAGCAGCCGCAGCATCAGTCGCCGCCGTTGTCCGCGCTTCGCCTGCTCGGCCTTCCCTCCCCCGACCGCTCGCCTGCGCCTCTCTCGCCGTCTCCCCCTCCTCCTGTTCACGGTCCTGTGTTTCCTCCCCCAGACTCGTCCCCAGCTCGTTTCCCCTCTCGTTCCCCTCCAGTTACTCCTCTTCTGTCTCTTGACCCGACGCCTCCATCTTACGTCTGGTCTCGCCGTCCCTCTCGTGCTCGTCCTATCTCTCCTGTTCAGCGTTCTCACCCTATGTTGCTTCGTTCCCATGCGTCTCGTCCTCCCCCTTTGCCTTCGCCTCCTCGGTCGTCGCTCATTGTCGCGACTCCCCCTCTGTCTGACTACCTTCGTGCTGCTCGTCCTCTTGTTCCTCGGGTCCTTGCCTCCCTCGTTACCGACCCATCTGTTCCTGTCTCCACTCTTGACGCTCTTGTAGCTGTTGTCGTTGAGTTTGCTTCTATTCGCTGCCTTGACTTCGCTACTGCTCTGGTCTCTGACCCTGTCTGTCCTCCGTCCGTCGGGGGTGCTCCTGCCCTCGGCAGTGACGTGTTGGAGGACACGCAGTACGAGCTTACTTTCCTGTCAAAGGCTGCTCCCCATCTCTGTTCCATGCTGCTAGTCCCTGAGGGTGACCCCGACGCCTTTGACATCCCGACCCCTCGCACCTACACTGAGGCCACCTCGGGACCCTGGGCCTCTCAGTAAATAGCTGCCATGGAGCAGGAGATGGCATCTTGGAGGGCTACCGGCACCTACGTCGACGCAGTTTCCCCACCTGGGGTGAACGTAGTCGATGGTCGCTGGCTCTTCAAGGTGAAGCGCCCCCCTGCAGAGCCGCCTGTGTTCAAGGCGCGCTATGTGGCTAGGGGCTTCAGTCAACGAGAGGGGGTGGACTTCTTTCAGACCTTCGCCTCGACCCTGAAGATGACTACTCTTCGGGCGCTGCTATACGTAGCAGCGCAGCGTGACTACGAGCTTCACTCCCTCGACTTCTCCACTGCTTTCCATCAGGGCAGCCTGCACGAGAAGGTCTACCTGCTCCGCCCTCAGGGCTTCACCGGTACTTTTCCTCCTGGAACCTAGTGGCTCCTCCAGCGCCCCGTCTACGGCTTGCGACAGGCGCCTCGTGAGTGGCATGATACGCTGCGTGCCACGCTAGTTGACCTGCTGTTCTTTCCGTCCTCTGCTGCCCCTTCGCTCTTAGTTCGTGCTGGCCAGACTCCGTTCTACATCCTTGTCTACGTAGATGACTAGTCTTTGCTACAGCGGACAGAGACACGCTGGCCTCTGTAAAGGCTGAGCTGCTGTGGCGACACACCTGCACTGACCTAGGAGAGCTGCGCCGTTACCTTGGCATGCAGATCTCCAGGGACAGAGCAGCGCGCACCATCACTATTACACAGTCACACTTGGTGCGCCAGGCCCTTCAGAGGTTTGGTCTTCAGTTCTCCTCCGCACAGCCCACACCTCTACTGGTAGACCACAGGCTCTCAGCTCCTATTCCCGAGGAGTCAGCAGAGCCCAGTGGTCCTTACGCAGTGCTGGTGGGTTGCCTCATCTACCTGATGACTTGCACTCGCCCAGATCTCGCATACCCTCTCAGCATCTTGGCCCGCTTTGTGGCCACAGGCAGACACCGACCACAACACTGGTCGGCCGCTAAGAGGGTTTTGCGTTATCTTGCAAGTACATCGGGCATGTGGCTAGTGCTGGGAGGACGCATGCCAGTGGTCCTTACTGGGCACACAGACGCTTCTTGGGCAGACGACGCAGAGATCCTCCTGTCCTCCCAGGGCTACTGCTTCAGCCTTGGTTCTGGTGCCATCTCGTGGAGGTCTACTCGCTCCTTGTTTGTTGCCCAGTCTAGCTGCGAGGCTGAGATCTACGCCGGTGCCATGGCGGCACAGGAGCTCCGTTGTTTGACCTTCTTGCTTGTCGACTTAGGTGAGCGGCCTAGCTCTGCCCCGGTTCTGTATGTTGACAACAAGGCCATGATCCTCCTGTGTCAGGAGCCTCGACTAGAGGGCAGAGCGAAGCACATCCAGCTGCGGTACTTCCTCCTACGCGAGCTTCAGCAGCGTCGCCAGGCCCGCGTAGTACACTTGGCCTCCGGTGCCAACACAGCTGATATCTTTACTGAGGCGCTTCCGCGTAGAGATCATCAGCGGCACTGCTTGCAGTTAGGTCTAGTACCTGTTGAATCTTACTTGCTAGGCCCTTGATTGTGTACTCCTTTCTATTTGTGCCTTCCAGAATGGCCTTGTGGCTTTTCCTCCAGTGGTTGGACTTGTAGTGCTGCCCTGGTTTGCTCTGTCTTGCTTGTACTCTTGCTGACTGGTCTTCGGGCCCCTGCCTCAGAGGTTGGACTAGTAGTGCCACGCTGAGCTGCGTGTTTCTTGCTCAGCACTATCCCTTATCTAGCCTAGGGGGTGTGTCAACTTATACATATATTGTTATGTAGAAGTTATAGGCTAGATAGGGTATGTTCTTGGTGGGTACAACCCAAACGCTGTATCTCCCTTGTTCTCCCTCATTATAATCATTTTTTCTAGTCTTAACAGCCAACCCCTATATATCCTCGGGCCTTCATTGCAATAGCGACCTTGTATTCTCACGTTATAGTTCATTGACACTTCCTAGATCATAACAATTTAACTTTTGGTGGAATACCCTTAATAGCTTGTTACCAAACCAACATGGCGCGGTACCTTCGAGCTTCAATGCTTGACCCCCCAAGGCTGCATGGCGAGGGGTTGACCCATATGGACTGGCCCCCACTCCCTCATCAGTCATCAGTCCGTTGTCTTGTGACTCGCACCAACAGACAGTCATGGCAGGGTGGCATTGCTTCGTCATTCTCCTCGCAGCGCTCGTTCTCTCGTTCTCTTCGACGACTGCCCCGCCTGCCGCTGCTGCCGTCACTCTCGATCCCTCGCAAGGTCGGTCGCGCCTCTGGCCTCTCTCGAACACGCGGCGCGTCGGCAGCGCGAGGCGTCGCGGCACTCGCCGCCGCAAATCCTGCGCCGCGTGGCGTGTCGCTGCCTTAGGGTTGCGATTCAATTATAGATGCTATCTCATTACTACCCCCGACACGGTCAGATAAGCTCACCGTAGTAACGGGACTGGCTCTTTTGCTGCTGGCCGCACCGTGCGGCCACGCTGTGTGGCGCGGCGTGTAGCGCCACGCCCATGTGGCGCCACGCGCTGTATGTTGCGCCACGCCCATGTGGCACCACGCTAAGTGTGTAGCGCCACGCCCATGTGGCGCCAAGCTAAGTATGTTGCGCCACGCCTCAAAACGTGTTGTAGCTACTATCCGCACAAGACGCACACAAAATATCCGCACATGGCGCGCGGGCTACCCGCGCACCCGTAGTGTAGGGCTATCCGCGCACACGACGCGCGCAGTGTAGGAATATCCGCGTGTTGGTCCGCGCGGGCTATCCGCCCTTCCTCTTCCTTCCCCTTCGACGCGGCACTCCGCTCGCCGTGCTCCCCATCCACGAATGTTCCCCCTCCCCTCCCCTCCCTTCCCCCCCCCCCCCCCTCATGTGCATGTTTCCCCCTCCCAGCCGCATACTCCCCCCCCGTCTGGCATGCTTCCCCCCTCATCTGCTGCTTTCCATATCCCCATTTGCCTGCTCCCTCCCTCACCATCCGCTTGTCTCCCCACCTCGCGCCCCACCCCCTCCTCCCCCCCCCCCTGCCCCACCACCCCCCCCTTTCCCTGCAGCGGCGGTGCTGGCGGAGTGTCAGAAAAAGTGGGGGCCGAAGGCGCAGCTGACCGGGTGGAGCAAGGGGGGGGATTGCGCCCAGGTGAAGGGCGTGCGCTGCGATGCCGCTGGCTTCATTGTCTCCATGTGCGTGAATTCCTTTCCACTTTTTTTCTCTCTGTTTTTATATTCCTTTTTCTTGTGGTAACGGCCTCTGAAATAGTGTGTGTGTGTGTGTGTGGGGGGGGGGAGTAAGTAGGCATGAGCATAGGCCCGGTCCGGCCCGACCCGATTCTTCTCTGTCCAACCCAAAGTCTGGCCGGGCCAGGCCAAGATTGGGCCGACTGCGGGAACTCCCGCGGGCCAAGGCCAGTCCGACCCCTAAACCCGGTCACCGGGCCCGGGCTGGGCAGGGGTAGGGCAGCCTAACTCCGGGCCGAGTTTCGGGGACAGCCCGGGTTTTTCCAGGCCAGGTTTGCTGCTTCGGCATTGTCGCCCTGGGATGCGGGAGAATGCGGGGCGTTCGACATTGCTGCAGCTAGGAGATAGCCAAAACTAAAGTGCGATCCTAGCTGTCAAAGTCCCGCCCCGCGGATTAGGTCTAGGATTAGTTGTGCAACTTTGACGGGATAGTTGGCTGCTGCTCCTGTTGTGTGTGAGGGGAGAGATTTGTGTTGCAGGTGGGTTGGGTTTCCTGAATTGTGAGGGGTGGGTGGGGGGTGTGGTTGGGCGCTTTGAAAGGGTTGGGGAGTTGTTCTGAGAGCCAAATGTTTGCTTTGCCAATTGGCGAGACCTTTGGTTGGGATCGCCAGTTTGCGAGGTGTCACGATTATTTTCCGTATTGTGTATTTACGCAAAACGCTTGGGGGCCTGAGTGTATTTTCCCACTTAGCGCCCAATCTCCCATGCTCCATGCCCCATGCCCCATACCGTATGCCACGTGCCCCACGTCCCATGTTTGATTCATTCACATGTTCCACACACCATCCCCCATAACTCACGGCCCATGCCCTGTGCTCCATTCCATGACCCGTGCTCCATACACTCATTTCCCATGCCCCAATGCCCCATGCTTCCTGACCCATACCCCATGCTCTGGGCCCCATGCATCATGCCCCATGCAACATCCCTCACTCCCCGTGCCCCGTTCCCCTTGCTCCAAATAATCGGCGTTTGTTCCCCGATGGTACAGTACCAAATTAAGTGGCCATAAAGTACGGGGAAAAACGGCCGATTGTGCATTTTTGGGGGTGGTGTAATTATGATGTCTTGTTTTTTTCCAACCGATAAAGAAAGGAGAGAAAAACACCGGCAAAATGCGCGGATCTCGTTTTTCTGCTGGTGAAATGCACGGATCTGGCATGCACGCTCACTGTGTGCTTAAGACGAGGAGGAGGAGGAGGCGGAGTCATAGTGACAAATATGTCCTGAACTGTTTTGGCCACTTTGTTTTTGTTATTTCTAGTGACCGTTTTTTGTCTATTAGCGATTCGCCTTTCCCCCCCAATAATTCCGGTATAATATGACCACCGTATTTTTCCACCTCGTGCTCCATGCCCCTTTCTTCAAATCCCATGCTCCATCGTCCATGGCCCATGCTCCATGCCCCATGCCCCATAGTCCATGCCCCATGCCGCATGCTCCCATGCCCCATGCTAGTAGTTGCGTATGTGTGCAACAACCGGCATCATACTCTCACCATCTTCGCCTCCCTTTCCCTTGTGCCATTCCCCATGCCGGGTGCCAGAAACGTCACTTATCGGCCTCTCTTTGGTCCCCTTCCAGATGCAGTGGGGAGCCTCACAACACTCACGGAACTGTAAGCATGCCATGTAGTGTGGAATGCCATAGCATCCCTCATTTCACTGGCCAGCTTGAAGCAGATCCTCCCCAACAACCTCCTCCTCCCACTTCCTCTCTCCCCTTTCCATTGTGGGCCTGGTATCAGGGCCTTTGGTATGGTCCGTTGATGTCCCGAGTAATTTGACTTCCCCCACATTTGGAGTTGTGCATGACTGAGCTGGAGATGATGAAAGTCCTGAGGGCACCAGATGATGAAAGTCCTGAGGGCACCAGATGATGAAAGTCCTGAGGGCACCAGATGATGAAAGTCCTGAGGGCACCAGATGATGAAAGTCCTGAGGGCACCAGATGATGAAAGTCCTGAGGGCACCAGATGATGAAAGTCCTGAGGGCACCAGATGATGAAAGTCCTGAGGGCACCAGATGATGAAAGTCCTGAGGGCACCAGATGATGAAAGTGCTGAGGGCACCAGATGATGAAAGTCCTGAGGGCACCAGATGATGAAAGTCCTGAGGGCACCAGATGATGAAAGTCCTGAGGGCACCAGATGATGAAAGTCCTGAGGGCACCAGATGATGAAAGTCCTGAGGGCACCAGATGATGAAAGTCCTGAGGGCACCAGATGATGAAAGTCCTGAGGGCACCAGATGATGAAAGTCCTGAGGGCACCAGATGATGAAAGTCCTGAGGGCACCAGATGATGAAAGTCCTGAGGGCACCAGATGATGAAAGTCCTGAGGGCACCAGATGATGAAAGTCCTGAGGGCACCAGATGATGAAAGTCCTGAGGGCACCAGATGATGAAAGTCCTGAGGGCACCAGATGATGAAAGTCCTGAGGGCACCAGATGATGAAAGTCCTGAGGGCACCAGATGATGAAAGTCCTGAGGGCACCAGATGATGAAAGTCCTGAGGGCACCAGATGATGAAAGTCCTGAGGGCACCAGATGATGAAAGTCCTGAGGGCACCAGATGATGAAAGTCCTGAGGGCACCAGATGATGAAAGTCCTGAGGGCACCAGATGATGAAAGTCCTGAGGGCACCAGATGATGAAAGTCCTGAGGGCACCAGATGATGAAAGTCCTGAGGGCACCAGATGATGAAAGTCCTGAGGGCACCAGATGATGAAAGTCCTGAGGGCACCAGATGATGAAAGTCCTGAGGGCACCAGATGATGAAAGTCCTGAGGGCACCAGATGATGAAAGTCCTGAGGGCACCAGATGATGAAAGTCCTGAGGGCACCAGATGATGAAAGTCCTGAGGGCACCAGATGATGAAAGTCCTGAGGGCACCAGATGATGAAAGTCCTGAGGGCACCAGATGATGAAAGTCCTGAGGGCACCAGATTATGTGTGTTGGTGTAAGATAACGTTTGTGTTTTTTACCACAAGGGCAACCACGTTCACTACAGCATGGTGGGTGGTATATGATTGGGGCGTTGGAGTTGGGACTTTGAGGATGGTTTTGGAGACAGGTGTGATAGGCTCTCAATCGGTCGACTGGTGCAGGTGGGGGCTGCAGCAGATGAAAACACACAGCAAGTGAACTGAGGCTGAGGTAAAGGACAATAGGTAGGCCCAGCAAGTAGCCCATTTTTTCTGGCGGCATGCAACGCAGGTCGCAAAGGGTCGGTGTGAATTGAAGCTGGGGACTAGTGGGCTGGGCTGAATGAATATGAAGCGCATATCAAATCTTCACTGCTGACACACACGATTATCACCTGCGCCCCGTGTGCCGAATGTTGTACCCGCACAGGACGCTTACAAAAACAGGACTTTACGGCTCAATCCCGTCGTCCCTGTTCGGTCTCACCAACCTCGTCACATTGTGAGATTGCTTCCCCAGCACGCCAATCTGCAGATGTGTGCGTTTCTGTGTGACCTGCATGGACCTCCGAGTTACGGTACCCTTTGCCAGGATCCCTCCCCTCCTCTCATCATCACCTTGACCTTCCTTACTTGCGTATGACCCTGTGGCCGTCCCCTCCTGATTGATGCAAGTCTGGATTGTAGGGCACGTGAATTGCTCAAAGCCGTGAGAGACTGGAGGGCGTTTGATGTGCCCCAGAAGGGGAAGTATCGTGCTCGGCTGCTCCACATGAATTTTCTCCCTGTTTCCCTCTCCACCCTTCTTGTGTGTGTCTGAAACACCTACCAGAGATCTCTATGGCAATTGGCTGTTTGGGCCCATTCCAACAGCCATTGGTGGCCTTGCTGCGCTCTCACACCTGTAAGCTGCCCTCCCTATGTATGCCACGCGCCACATTGCTACGCATGATCAAGGGCAAGCTTTTTTCTCAAGCTACCCTCGGTTGTGGCATTATTCAAGCCAAGCCGGGCAGTAGGCTCGTGTAATCAAGATGAGCCGAGGGGTGGCTAGTCACGAGGTGCATCGGCTCGCAACGACAAGCCGGCCAGCTCATGGTTGCTGGACACGTTCTTGGACTGATGGCGAAAAGCCGCGCTGGTTGTCGATGAGCCCCCGACGGGCCGACAATTCAGGTCTGGCTCGTCGTTTCGACGTAGACCAGCCATGAGCAGCACGCGTCGTGCTGAGCCTTCCATTTTGGTTGCTCTGCTCACCTCATGCACGAGTCAAGCCGAGCCGCCTGCTAGGCCATCTGCTCGTGCTTTCAGCATACCACAATCCATGCCATAATCCATGTCACAATCCATGCCACAATCCATGTCACAATCCATGTCACAATACATGCCACAATCCATGCCACAATCCATGCCACAATACATGCCACAATCCATGCCACAATCCATGCCACAATCCATGCCACAATCCATGCCACAATCCATGCCACAATCCATGCCACAATCCATGCCACAATCCATGCCACAATCCATGCCACAATACAAGCCACAATCCATGCCACAATACATGCCACAATGCATGTCACAATCCATGCCACAATCCATGCCACAATCCATGCCACAATACATGCCACAATCCATGCCACAATCCATGCCACAATCCAACCCGCAATCCATGCCACAATCCATGCCACAATCCAACCCACAATCCATGCCACAATCCATGGCACATGAACAGGTACATGCATGTGCATCTGGCAGACCATGTCCGCATTCCTAGCAGTACGCCCGTGAAAGTTTAGATGGCCGATCCATGGCCCGTGTCGTGTTTGTCAAGAGCCAAGTCCGAGCCGTGGTCCAATGTCTCCCCTCGGGTCGAGTCGAACCACGAGCCGCACCTCGGATCAATGGGCTCGGCGTGAGCTTCGTCGCGGCTCGTTGACGAACCGCGGATCTGGCGGGCGAAATTCTGGCGAGTGAGGCAAGGGTGGCTCGTTGCGACCCAGGCTGGCTTGCAACCAACTGCCCCCCGGCTCCGACGTTTAACACATGCCACGAGCCGGGCAATTGGCGGCTCGGCTTGTGACAAGGCTGGCTCGGCTCGGCCCGTAGGAAGGACGAGCCTGGCCAGGTTCGAGCGGAGCCGGTGTCGGCTTGGCCCTTGCTCATATCTACATTGTATGGTGGTTGAAAGTCGTGAGAGAATTGCCTTGGTGCAGAACGAAACTGTTGTTGTTGCCATAAGTGCAACCACCAGAGCATTTGGGCCATCGGAATGAGGGCTGCATGGAATGGCTGGGGAGACGGAAAGCACACAGCCATGGAAAAGTGGGACGGGCTGAAGCAACGGGGACTGCAATGGGTCTAGCAGTTCACTAGAGCTCAGGTTGCGATGCAGCCGACCAACTGCTCTACATGATGCTTCTCCCTCCCTATTTTCTCCCCATCATGCCACCCTTACATGTGTCTGACACACATATCAGAGATCTCAGTTGGAATTGGCTGACAGGCTCCATTCCATCAGCTATTGGTGGCCTTGTTTCCCTCTCATTCCTGTAAGGTGCCTTCAACACTCATGTCACTCCAAGGAAAGGCTGGCATGGTGTGACATTCCTCTACATCCAGTTTGAGTGTACGTGAGCGCCTAAACTAAGAGGACAGGGGTTGCCTTGACTTGCGACGCCTTTCATTAAGCATGTACGTCCGTACCAACCATTTGATCGTCCCGCGTTGCCCTTGCTGTGTGTATTACTCTGTATGTTCCTTCTTGCGCTCGCTACGCACCCATTCGAGAAGTTTCTGTGCATGACATGACAATTTCACACGTGCGGTGCGACCACGTTATTTCTGAGACACTTATTTTGGAATCTTTGGCCAGATGTTTCGCATCCTCCGTATATCGTTCTCCTTATTTCATCGATAGTGCAGCCAAGGTTCCCATGACACTCATGTCAATCAATTCACCCAAGTATCTCTCAATGTGTGGAATGTGACTCTGCTGGATCATCTCGTTTCGTGTCATGCGATTGTGCCTGCACTTGATTGATCCGTCCCACACTGATTACTACTGGAACTTTATATATACTGCTCCTGAATCCATGGCATGGTGCGTGCAGGGACCTAAGCAAGAACACCCGCATCAACGGAACCATTCCCCTGGAGATGGAAAGCCTCACCAACCTCAGATCCTTGTGAGCCACGGTTCGCTCTCGCACCACACGCACTTAGAGTCACCAATGGCTGCCGCTACCATTTCTCCTTGTCACTTATGTGTTGTGTTGTGCAGTGACCGCCTGTTTGGAATTCAAGGGGGTTAATTTCTTTCAAGGACGTCCCATCCCAGTAATAGCTCAGTATGAAGGCATAAGCCAAGAGCCTAGGACATTTGCCATGATGCCCTAGATACTTGGTCAGCCCTTGCCTTGTGTTCGCATTCTCCCTTCCAAATCATGCTCGCCATACCTGTCACTCCACTACACGCGCACCCTTGGTGAGGTGAGGTATGGTCGCAGCTGTCATTGAATTGACCCAAGGAAATTGTTCCAGCTTGGCCAACATGTGCAACACTTGGCCTCAGTTTTTTAAGGCTGTCAAGTGTTGACACCACCCTTTCCTACAACCTCTAAGGGGCTGCGGTTGGCCATGAAATAGCCCTTCCATCTTACCAAATCATCACATTAGACAAGCGCATTGCGGCAGTCCTTCCGGGCTTGTCCGAAGCCTTTTTCCTAAGGACCTTCCGATCACCTGTGCCACATGTTCACGGATCCTAGCATTCTCTACATTCATGCATCTGTGTGTGTGTGTGTGTGTGTGTGTGTGGGTGTGTGTGTGTGTGTGTGTGCGGGCGCGTGTGTGTGTGTGCACGTGTGTGTGTGTGTGTGTGTGTGTGTGTTGTTTGTGTATGTGTGTGTATGCACGCGCTTTCATGTGTGTGTGCAGAGCTCTCAGCTTTATGGGTTTAACGGGTCCCTTTCCATCCTGGATATCTGGTCGCACTACACTCACCTACATGTGTGCTTGCTCTTCTCCTTTACATCCCCACTTGGTCATAGCAGTTGCATTTTCAATCCTTTCCCCTCCAGGCCTGCCTTCCCACTCTTCCCCCCCCCCCCCCCCTTCTCTCTCTGTCGCCTCCTCTCAAACGACCCCCTTTTCTTTCTTTCTATAGCATACGCATACTCACACTCGCACACCTACACGCACACACACCCACACAAACACATACACACATTAGGGTTGAGCATACTACCCGCCCGGGTCGGGTACCCGGTACTCGGATCCGCTTTTAGGGCGGGTCGGGTATCGGAAATCCTGAATATTACCCGGCGGGTCGGGTCTGGGTTACCCGGGCGGGTATTCAATACCCGGTACCTGAAATGCTACCCGACGCGTCGGGTAGCGGGTACCCGACCCGAAGTCGGGTAGCGGTCTACCCGACGGAACCAGCGAGACATTAGTCGCGCTGGTAGAGAAATTTCATCAAGTTTCTAGGTTACGTGAGCTGCTAGGTCACTTAGAGCATTGTAGATTGGCAGGGGTTGGGTTTCGTAGATACAGATGCATTCAGAGTAGGCTTGAGCATGAACCCGACCCGACTTTGCCCTACCCGATGTCGGGTTCGGGTCGGGTCGGGTCGGGTCAAGTCGGGTCGGAGTTCAGGAAATGTCAACCCGACCCGTGTTTAATAGGTCGGGTTCTACCTAACCCGATTTCGGGTCGGGTCGGGTCGGGTTGCCATAGGGGCAGGGACGGGTAATAAGCCGACCCGACGGGTCGGGTTTTATCGGTCGGGTCGGGTCGGGTCGGGTCGGGTACCCGAGGGTCGGGTCAACCTTCCGCAAATGTCGACCCGACCCGTCAAAAAGTCGGGTTCGGGTCGGGTTACCCGACCCGACCCGACCCGTTGCTCAAGCCTAATTCAGAGTGGTTGAATTGGGGGGAATTGGTTGGAAGTCAAACCAATCGAATTTCCCCAATCGAATTTGCAACCCAACCTGAATCCAGCCAACCGCACAGCACCACATTGGTTGGAGTTCCAACCAATTGACTCTGGGGGTCAAAGAATTAAACCCCCAGAAACCGCACACAACCCCATCCCAACTAGAAAACCCAACCAACTCCCCACTCAGGCCCCACTCACGACCCACTCACCACACCAGAACTGTTAAAGATTTGGCGCACCTCATACTCCCTCCCGCAGCTCACGTTTTTTGAAGCACTATCTAGGTCGTAGGCTTAGTAGCCCAACAAGGTAGAAAAACGCGGGTAATACTACCCGCTTTTCAAGGAAACCGGGTCGGGTATACCCGGACCCGCCAGGCGGGTATTAAATTACCCGCCCCCAAATCCCGGGTCCGGGTATTGGTCCTGGGCATGTTACCCGACCCGTACCCGACCCGAAAATACCCGACCCGAAGTCGGGTATAGCAAAACCGGGTCGGGTCGGGTAAATACCCGGTTTTGCTCATGCCTAACACACATACACACAAGTACTCATTTGTTACTAGTCTATCGCTCGCCTGCTTTTTTACAGAGACGTTGTTGGCAACAGGTTTGTTGGAAGCATTCCAGAGTCCATTGGCAGTGCCATCAACCTCAAAGTCTTGTAAGCCAGTGCACGTATGCATGTGTTTGTGTTGTTTGTGTATGTGTGTGTATCACATGCACTCATGCCCATCACATGCGCTCATGCCCATCGCCTTTCCTCATGACCACCATATGCAGAGTACCCATCCAATGCATCATACCCATCTCAAGAGCTCGTACTGATTGCATGTGCTCATGCCCATCATCCCATCTGCTCCTCACTGCACCCTGTGCCACGCGCAACAGCTCTGTGTGGCACAATCAGCTCACAGGCAGCATTCCAGAGTCCTTCGGCAGCCTCACCAAACTCAACAGCGTGTGAGCAACTTTTTATTTGAAAGCACCGTCTTTACCAGTCTCTTAGTCATCCATTTGTGTAGAAAATGCCTGTCATGAAAGTGGCCTGGCGCCTAATTCCGCCACTCGTGTATGAAAAGCCCATAACTTGATTGACATGTCTGATTACCGCTTTGCAGGGATTTGTCTGATAACCTGTTTGTTGGTACCATCCCGGAGGGCATTGGCAACATGAAGTATATAACCTCATTGTGAGAGCGCTCAATGTTTGTCTGTTTGTTCCAACTGTTTATTTCTGGTAGGGATCAGACTGCCATTGCATGCTCATTTGTTTCGGCTGGACTTCCATTTCTTCACTGCCAGCAGCTTATTGTGCTGGTTGGTTTGTCATTTGCTCATTTGCTTTTTGCACTGGCTGAGGGTTTGCTCATTTGCTTAACTCGTCTTTTGTGTCCTGGACCTTCCAGAACGGAGTCGCTGCTTCCGTTGCCATGGCTCCGTGTCATCAACGTGTGCCCAGTGCGCCATGAAATCACAGGGACCTCTCTAACAACCTTTTGACCGGCACAATCCCCAGTAGCCTGTCTCGTCTCACTGACCTGCAAGAGCTGTGAGTAACACGGCAGCAGACACATGAAGACAGAGGAGGAAACAGAGGTGTTATGAAGTTAGAGGAGCGGAGTGAAACCTTGCTGGCGGTCTTGGTGAGATTGTGATTCGCGCTGTCTGAAGCCACTCTGGAAATTGCGTGGTTCATTAGCCCATGTCTAGTCTCGGTATCAAGGTTCATTGTTGCTCCATGGTCATATGTTCGATGCAATCTCATTGATAGACATATTGATTCTATTGTTGTTGACTTAGGTTATGGCCCTGCCGGCCGGTCACGGGCTGACTTGCCTATGCTCACCTACAGGTTCCTAAATGAGAACAAGCTGAATGAGTCCCTTCCTGCCTGGATTGCAATGTTGTCCAACATTGTAGCACTGTGAGTGTTTCTTATGGCTGTGAGTGTCCTAGTTTTCCATCTCTGTTAATCACATGCATGCCGTTTCTCCTTGGAGCATAAAGTTGTGCAGAAAACGCTCAGTTGTGTCATACTTAAGTTTTCTGTACCTTTGGCCTTTTCTATAGCCTTCCTCATCACTGCTCTTTTGCAGTCACACCGACTCATTTCAATATGAAGCAACTCTTACAACTGTTCCTGTTGTGGTGTACTCTGTTGCTCTGTTATGCACTGTCTATTTGCACCTCGTCCTCTCCCCCTTGGGGTGTTGTCATTAACATGAGCAATGAGCGAGGATTCCTCGCCTCGAAATCCTCGCCTCGATCCGGGGGTCGAGCAGGTTTTCTGGAATCCTCCGGATTCCTCGCCCCGCCTCGCGAGTTCGAGCCCGATCCTCGAGCTCGGATTCCCATTACCCCCCCCCCCCCCCAGCCGCCCAGGCGAATCCCGCCCCTCAAGGATATCCCGAGCGGATCTCCTCCCCCCCCTCATTTCATGATCCTCGCGAATCCTCGACCCCCTCGCTGGCGCGAGGATGAGATCCTCGATCAGGATCCTCGCCCGCCCGTGCTCATGTCTAGTTGTCATTCCCCATTAACTCCTTCATATGTTCCCTCATGTAGCATTCCTTTTGATACCCCATTTGTGATTCTCTGCTGTGATCACACGGTCATTGCTTGCAGTGATGTCAGTGGGAACGAGTTGTCCGGGCCTCTACCTGCCGCTCTTGGCAGTTTGACGGGTCTCAGCTTTCTGTGGGTGCTGTTGTGTGCTCTGCACACCATGTGCTGGTATTTTTGAGTGACTTTGCCGTATGTTCCTCCTTGTGTTCATGGTATTGGTCACTAATTCGTCCACACCACCTTTCATCCCGCATGATTCACTCTCTCAAGCAGTGCTGCCGTAGGCATGAGCACACAAGTCGAGTTGTGAAGTTGGACCTAACACTAAACATTGACTTACTTTTGTAGACGTTAGCGTAGTAACATAGAGTTTTTATGTTTACAACGGCTGAAAACTTTTCAGGTAACGTTTACGGTCAGCCACAAAAAGTTTTGAGGCTGCCCAGAAAATAAAATTTGCAGGGAGGGAGTACTGATTCCTAAATCCAATGGCCCCGACAGTTTTGAACTCCAGTTTTGGTATGGAATTCCTCATGGAATGCTCCGACCCCTCATGCATGCACACGCCGCCCCTCCTCCACGCTCTACTTCTCCCTCGACTAGCTCCAGCAGATCGTCTTTCATTCATGTGCCTGCAACCGTGGCCATTCTTCCTAGCATGCCATTCCAGTAGTTTTACTAGGTTGTATAGTAGACTTCTAACACATATCCTATCCTTACTCTCCCTTTGTAAAACCCCGTTTCTCCAGGTTTTTTTTTCCCCTAGCTCGAATCAAAGATGCGAGGACGCTCTCAAATTTCGTCGAAGGCAAAACAATGTGTTTTTTTTTTTTTTTTTTTTTTTTTCCCACAGGAAATCTTCTTACCTGCCTGCCCAGTGTTAGTCCACAGTGTTCGTTCACGTTTGTTAGCGTTAACATTAATTAACTCGTTATTGACGGTAATGTGGCTAAAAAATACTTTAGGACCAACTTTTTTTACTCCATTTGCTGTCTCGACTCGGGGAGCATTCAAGCCGGGTGGTGTTTGCGGCATTCTAACTCGAACCGAGTCGAGACAAGTTGAGTCGAGTCAAGTCAGTCAACAGTCACGAGCCAAACTCGACTCAAATGCTGAATTCTGCCGGGTCAGCTGACTAGTTCGAGTTGGCCGCTTGACTCAACAACGAACCGCGCGACTCGGTTTTGGGAGGGGAGGTTTAGCTGGCTCTTGCACTGTGTCCGCCGACCGAGAATGGTATAGGCCAGAATTGGAGAAACAGCTCCTGGAATAGCAGGGAAAAGGGGCCGCCTTCTGACAAACGGAATGAGTCAGACTGTTGAGTTGAGTCAGGCCGACACGGCACAACTTAGACCAGACTCGGCCACCACCAGTCGGAAAGCCAGCAACCCTGACTCGAGACGAGTCGAGTCGGACTTCACTCTACGCATGGTCGAGTCAGAGCTGACTTGAACGGAGTCTGACGTGACTCGACTCATACTCATGCTCAGCATGCGATCTTCCACGAGAATCTCGTCGCTCCATTCTTTCCTCCGGTGTCCCTGCACATTCTTCTATGTCCCTTATTCCTCCTTCCTACATCCCCATCTCATGCCCCCCACCAAGCAGCGACATCTCATCCTCTGGTCTCACGTGTCCTCCAGATACTGCCAGCTGTGTGGTTCGCCAATCCAATGAAAGCGCCTTTTGCTCAAAGTGCAAGAGCTTTTGTGACACATGTACATCAGATGAAGGTGAGACACTGACTGCGGACATTGCAAAGCAAAACAAGGCGGTGCTAGTGAATGCTAAGTTGCATCAGTCAATGCGATGTTGTGCCCATGCTAAGTTTTGGGCATGAGCATAGGCCCGAGTTCGGGCTGGGCTGGCCCGGCCCGTTCAAACAAGGGCTCGGGTTGCCTGTGCCCAAAACCTGGCCTGTCGCGGGCCGGGCAGAAGCACCAACCGGCCTTCCCGCCCCGTCTGCAGTCACGGGCCGGCCCGGCCGGTCCCCGGCCAACCCCAGCCCGACCCCTAAACACGGGCCACAGGCCAGGCTGGTGCAAGGGCCTACCCGACCCTTGCCCAGCCCATGAATAATCCGGACCGTGCCGACCCATGGCGTGGCGGGCCGGCCCGGGCCCGCACGTTGCTAAACCGTTGTGTCAGTTAGTGTTAAGTTGTGCTAGTCAATGCTAAGGCATGCCATGCAGTCCCAAGTAGAGATGGGCACAAGCCGAGCCACACCTGGCTCGGCTCGGCTCGGCTCGCCTTTAAGGCGAGCCGAGCCTTCTTTTTTGGTACCCGGCTCGACTCGAGCCGAGCCGGCTCGGCTCGACTCGAGCCGGCGGCTCGGCTCGGCTCGCGAACGTGAAATCAGGCGAGCCGGAGTCGAGCCGGCTCGAGCTGGCTCGATTTCGAGCCAGCCGGCTTGCGGCTAGGGAAAGGGGGGTTTCGCGACTGTCAAAATTTAGATCGACAACCCCCCCCTGCCAATATTGTCTGCCAACCCTAACCTCACCCTGTCGCGCTAGTCTATCGACCTCAGCCAGCCATATTTAAACCGGCAGCTCCTCCTGATAGTTTTGTAAGATGTAGGAGCAGACGATCAGCTAAATAATATGGATTATCCCCTATACTAGAGACCCAACCCGTGGCCAATTGAGAGCCCGCACAAGCCCCTCTGACGAGCCGAGCCGGCCGCCGGCGAGCCGGCCCCGCTCGACCCCATTTCACGAGCCGAGCCAGGGATCCTGAGGACCCGCTCGAGGCGAGCCGAGCCGGCTCGACCGGCGAGCCGGCTCGGCTCGACCCCAACGAGCCGAGCCAGGCTCGGCTCATGCCCATGTCTAGTCCCAAGTTGTGCTAGGTTGTGCTAGTTATTCCATATTCATATCTAAGTTGGTACTTTACGTCACTTTAGGTGACGTAAACGTACAGTACGCGTACGTTACGTTTACGTCGCCGGGCAGGCTCTGAAAATTTTTTCTGGGAAAAAAATTCCCTCCGAAAACCGCGTTCTACAACAACTACGCGATCTGCAACTATGCCTAGATTATCGCTGCCCAGGGTTCGCGCAGATCTACCCCGTCATGAACTATGGCGCACGTAGATTCGTCGCGCTGGTCGAAGGCGCGCTAATAGTCCTAGGATGCGACTTAGACTTAACTTAGTTGCTACTGGAGATAGGGTAGCGACTGACATTCGTCGAGGAGGGAAGGGGAATTGAATGTCGAGGAGGGTTGGGTTGGGTTAGGTAGGGGTTGACGTTGACTGGTTGGAGTACCAGCATGTCAGATTTGTTGACTGTGATGCAAACCAGTGGTGTCCCAAGCCGGTGGACGCTGCGAACGCACAACTGGCGATTGCGACGTTCTTCCACGTTTGTCGCATCCCGCCAAACGTGGCGGAACACGAGGTCTTCAAAACCATGTTGAAGAAGGTGGCGGCTGCTGGCACCGGTTTCACCCCCCCGGGCGTCGGCTCATCATGGGCCGCCTTCTTGAGGAGTGCAAGACGAAGACGGAGAATGCGCTCAAGGATGCGAAAGAGTCGTGGGACGACATTGGAGTGAGCATCGCGTGCGACGGATGGACGGATGGGGAAGGTCGTCTTCAGCTCAACATTTTGGCCGTCAACTCCAACGCGTCGGTCTTCTTGTTCGGCGTTGATTGCGGCACGGAGAAGAAAGGAGCTGATTACATCGCCGGGCACTTGAAAACTGCGATCGAGGAGGACGGCGCGGAGAATGTCGTCGGAGTGCTGATGGATGGTGCGAGCGCGAACATCAACGCTGCCAGCCTGGTCAAGGAGGAATATCCGAAGGTGCAGTGGATTCGTTGTGCCGCACACTCGCTTAGCCTCCTTATGAAGGACATCGGCGGGCTCGACTGGGCCAAACCGACCATCGACGAGGCGCAGCAACTCATTTCGACACTGAAGAACGGGCAGTGGATCACGGGCTACTTTCGAGAGAAGGATTCGCTGAAGGTGCTGAAGCCTGCAGGCACGCGGTTTGGGACTAACTACATCGCCCTTGAGCGTCTGGTTCCGGTGCGTGACACGCTGGAGGCGATGATGAAGACCAAGGGGTTCGACGATTACACGAAGGGGAGGCCCAAAATGAAGGACGCACGCGACACGGTGCAGCAGAAGGGATTCTGGAAGGGCGTTGAGCTGGTAGTTGCCGTTCTCAAGCCGGTCTTCATGACGTTGAGGAAGGTCTACGGGAATCAAGAGGTCATGGACAAAATGTACGAAATGATGATCGATTTGGAGGAGCAGGTGGATAGGGTGTGCGCGGATTTGGAGAGCGCCGAGGAGGAGGTTGCAGAGATTGTGCGGAATAGGTGGAATAATGACATCAGTTGCCCGCTTCACGTGGTGGGGCGCATTCTCTATCCACCCAACCAGTATGAGATTTTTTTTGGACCGGACGACAAGGAGTGCATCGCAATCTTTAAGCGGTTTGTGCGCGACTACTACAAGGGAGAGACTATGAAGGTCGGGAATGTCATTAAACCAATGGCCACGATCGTCGAGGGCGAGGTGTTGACGTACATCAAAGGGAAGGGGGAAATCGGAGAGCAGAAAGGCTTGGAGGGTCACTTGGACCCCGTGCAGTGGTGGATTATGAATGGCTCCGATTGCCCCAACGTGGCGAAGCTGGCGTGTGCAGGGTACTCAAGCAGTGCGTGTCGGCACCGCACGCCGCAACCGACTAGGCCCCAAGCGTCTTGCGGATTTGGTTTACATAAGCCACAACTACCACACGGTGAAGAAGCTTAATGCCAACTTCTCCAAGAAAATGATGGTTTCGGCACTTCCAGTATTTCGGGAGGAGCCAAAGGATGGCTATGAGCCCCTCGATGATGATAACGACATCCCTGATGATGCGTATGTGGACACTCCCGTTGAAGACGACCCTAGCATGGATGAGTGAAGGTAGCATCTGCAATTTTGCATGTTATAAGCATAGCACCTGTTGGAAACTTGGTATTTTGTGGATGTTTTCTATCTTCCTACAAAAAGATTTAATGGCCAATGGAAGTCTGTACAAAAATCTGCCTAGGTTCCCTCTTCTTTTTTTTTCCCGGGCAGGTAGAATTTTTTTGCCTGCCTGTACATACAAGCCTAAAACCAGAATTGCGTAAACGTACGTAAACGTACACGTACGTAAACGTAACGTAAGGAACCAAATTAGATTCATATGCATGCTACCTGATAACTTGCCAGCATCTTTGCATCTATGTATGAATAGCCATCACCGTGATGTGATTTGGGTGGTTTCTTTGTTCATGTGTATGCGCCTGCATGTGTGCCGGCCCATTCAGCTGCACAATCATTCCTTCCTCCATCACCACCACCTGCATCTCTCTCCCTTGTTTCATTACGACCCCCATCACCCATTGCACCCAGCAGCAGCCCTGTCACCTCGGCCAGCACCCCCGGCACCTCCTTCCTCGCCCTCGTCCTCTTCCCACTACGACCTGTCCATTGGAGCTGTCATCGGCATTGTGGCGGGAGCCATCTTCGTCCTGCTTGTCTTGCTCGGTTCTGCTTGGTGGACTGTTGGACGGCGCAAAGCATCTGATGGAGGTCACATCCTTATATGTCAGCCATTTTCAGCAAAGGACGAATATGAGCACCACATATTATGGAACAATGGCATATCGATCTCTTAATCACGCCTATTAGCCTTTAATTCTTGTATGTTCATCTACTGTTTCTTGCTTATTCCAAGGTCATCCATCTCTTTTCTCTATCTGTGGTCCTTCTGTACCATTTCTCTGACCTTTTCTTCCCCCACCCATCCCTCCCCACACACACGCCTGATCCTTTTCGTTGTGCAGTATCGTCAGTCCCCAGCTTGCAAAATGCACCCACACTGTGCCAGAAGTACCCCTGGCTGTTGTCGTTCGCGCCACAGGCAACTGGTCCAAGGACAAGCTACTTGGGTCGGGGTCGTTCGGAGACGTGTATCGCGGGGTGTGCCCTGATGATGGCACCACGCTGTGGGCAGTGAAGCGAGCCAAATTCATCAGCGCTGACTTCCACAGAGAGGTGGGCAACAACGATGGAAAGGACAGTTCAGGCAGTAGGAGGGTCGAGGTTTGGCGGCAGTGGGGAAAGGGCTAGAGAAGGTGCGGATAGAGTTTGGAGCTTTCAGGGTTTACGAGGAGTTTCAGCTGAATGCAAGGTGGGCAGGTTGCTGCTGTTGGCTTCGTCCTTGGACCGGCGGCTCCTGGGCGGGGGAACGGGCTTGCAGCCCCTCGTTGACGGGCCAGCGAGGTGGCTGCTGCAGTGGGCCTGACTGGAGGGGTGGAGCTGCTGGCATAGGGAGTCCGGGGTGGTGGGTGGGTGGACCGAGGACTTAGCACATGCAGGGCTGGGCCTTACTGCGGTTATAACTGTAGTCTTGCAGCTGCTTCAGGCTGGTCTCTGCTGGTCAGCACGTGCAGCTCGGAGCTCCATGCAGGCAAGTTCTCGCCGGCACCTCCAAACAATGGGTGCAAGTGCGCTCTTCGTTCCTTGGGCTCCTGGGTTGGGCTGTGGGCTGGTAGCGGCTTCCTGGTGGGAGAGAGGGGTGGCGTCAGCACAGCAGAGGCAAGGAGGGCAGATGGGAGGAGATGCAGTGAGGAGTGAAAAGAGGGTGCGAGAGGTTTAGGGAAGAGGTGAAAAGGGGTAGGAGAGATGGAGTAGAAGATGGTGCGGAGGGGTGGATTTAGGGCGTAATGGAGTGTGAGGGTGATCGAAAATGCAGATGCATTGTAATGAGTGAGGAGTGGCGGTTTGAATTCTTTTGGTAAGGCAAGTCAACGGTTTGTATGTCCATAGACCGAATGCCCATGTTTCCTCGTGTTGCAACATCCAGAAGGATTTGGCTGGATGGATGATTGGCTGTAGGAAAGGTGTCAATGAGTCAAGGTAGTATGTGTGAATCCATTGGCGATTAGTGTGCATTGAACATGTGAGGCCGTCACGAAATTGCTTTACTCGAAACAGCCAATTGTCGCCATGGTGTTGAGACCGGGGAGGGTATCACCTTGTCAAATGAGTTGTTTCGCATGAAGGGTTGACACTCCGCTTCCATCGCAGTACGTCATTCAGCAGCATGTGGGCCCGTCTTGTTTTTTTTTACTGAGGGGTGAGGAGTCGCTCTTTGTGAGGAAGTTAGGGATTAATTATGTTGAGATGAAATGGCTCCTCGTGACCTTTACGTAGTATAGAAGAAACAACTCCCTCGGCAAGAGGAGTCCGGATGAGTGGTAGAGCAAGTGGCTTGAGTGGGTCCACAGGACCCAGTGGAGCAGAGGTGGAGGGTTCTTCAGATGGTGAAGTTGGGGTTGAGGCATCAAAGTCAGCCCACAAGAGGGAGGGGGTGTGGAAGAAGCCACGCCTGTGGTGGTTGAGTAGAAGTGCACATGAGAAAACGAGTCAAGATTCGACTCAACTCGTTGATTCTGCTCGGAAAAAAAAGTTTTCTAGTCGAGTCACTGGGGGGAGGCCCGCTGACTCGATCCAAGGCGAGTCGAGTCGAGTCGCGAGCAAATCTTCACTTAATCTCAAAACTATGCTGAGTCAGTGTTGAGTCAGCCGAGTCAACTTTTACTCGTCGACTCGGCTCTGACTCATTTGAGTCAGGGAAGGGGAAAGGGGGGGGGGGGGAAGGGCAGGGGGGGGTGAGAGGGTTAGGGTAAAAACTTTTTGTGACATTTTGGAGCTCCAGCAGAGCAAGGTGCAAAAAAAGGGCATCCGAATGAAACGGTCCATTTTAAACGGCTGTTTTTTACGGTGGGTTTTGGTTAAAAATGACGTTTTTTTGTTAGACTTTTTTCCATGAAGTTTTTTTTCATAAAAAGCACGCATAAACAAGTGGCCTGATCGCTAAGGCGGCCTGCATCGTTCAACGAGGTAATTAACGGCTTTGAAACAGGTATGTGATGTCCATGCCCCTAGTCCGTCGCCTTCTAGGCCTCATTCTGCTCCTACTCCACCATCCCCCCCGTCCTCCTCCTAAGCGTCATCCCCCTAGTCCTCCCCCCCCTAGTCCTCCCCCTCCTAGTCCTCCCCCGCCTAGTCCTCTCCCCCCTAGTCCTCCCCCACCTAGTCCTCCCCCGTCCATGCCTCGTCCTCGTCCTACTCCTCCTCTCCTCCTCCCTGTCCTCCTGCTGCTCAGCCTCATCCTCCTAGTCCCTCTCCGCCTCTCCTGCTCCTCCCCTCCTCGTCCTCCTCCCACTCTCGCCGTCACTGCAGTCCCATGGGGATCCCTCCTTGGCCCTCTTGACAGGCTCGTTGGGTCCACTGCTATCGCCATCGCCCTCTGCTGCCTCCTCCTCCTCCTCCTCCTCCTCCTCCTCCTCCTCCTCCTCCTCCTCCTCCTCCTCCTCCTCCTCCTCCTCCTCCTCCTCCTCCTCCTCCTCCTCCTCCTCCTCCTCCTCCTCCTCCTCCTCCTCCTCCTCCTCCTCCTCCTCCTCCTCCTCCTCCTCATCGACCACCTTCTCCTTCCCCTTTCGGGAAGTGTTTCCCTTCTTTGGCCTCTTCTTACCTCGGGCCTTGGTGCCACTCTTCTTCTCCTTCCCCCCGAATCCCGATGTGAGCGAACGTGTCCCAATCGACGGTACACGCCTCCCAGCCCTCTTCCCCTTCGGGGTCCTCAGCCTCGGGTTCCTCAGCAGGTGGCAGGGGGATGGTGGCGCCCTCCTTCAGGCTGCCATCGCTCAGGTTGGAGTACAGCTTCGCGCGCACCGCCACTTTCTGGTCGAACGCCGCTCTTGCCCGCCGGCTGAACGCTATGAAGGTGACGTCGGTCATCGTCGTCGCGCTCAGCCGGTTCCGGTCGCGGCGCTGGACGCAGGCCAAGGCGGACGAGTAGCGTTCAACCTCGGATGAGGTCACTGACTGTGATGGAATCGTCACAGCCAGCTCCTGCAAGGCCGCCACCTCCCCTCCGTACATCCACCACCATTCTGCATCCTTCAGCCGCCCGCTTTCCACGAGGACTGGCGCTGCCCATCGGGCTTCCATGGATCCGAGGCGTCCCTCGCCCTTGTGGAAAGTGGCGAGCTGGGCGGTGATCATACACTGCCGCTGCAAGTCGCCCGGATCACCTCGTCCGCTCCGTTCCTGATCTCCGCGTCCGCCGCACCTCACCCACCTACTGGTTCCGCGTGCTGAGGAGCCAACCGAAAGCTTGCAGCGGGTTGTGGAGCTGCCCGTCCCAGCACTTGGCGATCACCTTCTTCACGTCCGCCAAGAAGGCGGGCTTGTCCTTTGCCGCAACCAAAGGCGTTCGGCGGACGAAGAACGTGGCTGCCACCTCTGCTGCCTCGTTCATTTTGACGGTGGCCTCTAACATGAGGCCATAGATGCGGCCCATGACGAGCGACCGCTTGTAGATGGACTGTGTGGATGGGATTCATGAGACGGAGCACCACGCCAACGGACTCCCAGAATGAGTCCGCCAAGAGGAGGTCGCGGACGGCCTTTCCTTCCTCAGACCGCGCCAGCGGCACCTCCTCCCACTGCTCGCTAATGACCGTTTCCCGCAGCTGCCTCTTGACCTCGAGGAACCGCCCGATCATCAACACCTGAGTCCCAAATGGAGTAGAGCCGGGGCGGACGAGCTCCAACTGGCTGAAGACCTCACGGAACCGCGTGACGGCGGATGCGCTTCTCCATCGTCACAACCCGATGCACCTGGGTTAGGAACTGCCTCACGACCCCAATCGCCCCAAGATCCTCCAATGTAAGGTCAAGGACGTGAGCCGCGCAGTTTGTGAAGAAGACTTGCGGGAAGCCGTCTTTCAAAATGCTGGCTGCCTGCTTGTTGTTAGATTCGTTGTCCATGCATAATTGGACGACAAAGGCGATCGCTCACATTGCAGATAGCGCGCCGAATCAGCTCAGCAAGGTACGGTCCGGTCTTCTTTGCAGTCTTAGATTCCACAATGTCAACGACAACATGAGCAGTGTCGTTTTGGGCAATGACGCACACCATGCCACGGCTTTTGAGGCATGACCGTCCATCGATGCTTAACGAGCAGCCGGTGGTGCGCCACGTGTCCTTCAAAGGTTGTAGGAGTGTCTCACATTCCGTCTTCAGTTTGTCGAGCAAGGGCAGTGTATAGGGCTTCACGAAGCTGACCGCCGCGTTGACAAAGTCCTGAACCGTCTTCGACTGGGACGCTCGAAACGCCCAGTCATTCTCTACTACGGCCGTCGCCCACAAATAGTCGAGGCGGTTACGGCCCGCCACGTCCGTCATTTCGCAGATATCGCGCTGCCGCGTGCGCCCCCTTTTGCTGCACCTCCACCGTCGACGTCGAAACACGAAGAGAGAGCTCGGCAGAGGAGGAGCGTCCCTCTCCGCCAGACGCGTGCAGTTGTTTCGCTTACTCCGACTGACATGGTGCGACGCTCTTCAGCTTGTCGCTAGGCGGGCCGTAGATGTGATGGCCTATCCTAGTAGCATTAGGATGACGGATGCATCGCAGTGAATACCCACGCAGCTGCGAACAATGCTGCTGGGGCCCGTGTCTTTCTTGACGTGCTCCCAGAGCCCGGACGTCGGTCTAGGCATGACCAACCACGGACTGCTGAACGCGAGAGTACAATCTGTGCAGTAACTAGCGGGTCTAAGTACAGAGTTGAGGAGGTTGAGTAGTAATGCTCACTGCTGTGGAGCTGCTCGATGTTTGTACCTGAGCTTTGAAAGGGATCACATCCCATTTCGTTGAGAGGGATGGACCCCGAGATGACGTGATTGGTTGCGCGAAATCGCAAATCCCGAATCACATGTTCTCAAATGTTCGCCCGACCGCGCGATGCTCGGACCAGAGGGGCGCATGGCGCGAAAAAGGACTGTCGAAATTTGCACAATGGACGCGCGCTCTGTTCTGGGCTCCAGAAATTTTGGATGCATGCGCTTCGATAATTTGTCAGGTCGCGGCTCGGCTAAAGTTGAACGACTGCGCGACTGACAAATATTGAACACGGATATGCGTTATTAGCTCAGCCAAAAACGATGTACACCGTATTATACGGTGGTACGAAAAAACGATCGCATAAAATGGCAGTTTTTTGCACCAAACGCAAAATGCAACTTCCGAGTCTCGGCCGTATTAATCGTATTATACGACCGTTTTATACGATCCCATTTTAACAGCAAAAAAGGTTAAAAACGCCGTTTTTTTGCACCTTGCAGCAAAGCAGCTCTGAAATGCATTGCGCCCTTAGCGTCTAACTAAGCTACCCCACCCGAAACAACTCCCAATTACATACATTTGTGCCTGAATTTTGGCATTCTGCTCATGTTACGCATAGAACTCCCCCGTTTCCAACAACTTTTTTCAATTCAAGGTTACTACGCTCCTTGCAGCTCTATAAGCTCAAATCTAGGGTTTGCTTACAGATGGGCCGTGCCTCCGGTTGACGGAATTTGGTGTTGCCTGCCCATTTAGCCGCGCTTTCGAATACTCGAGTCGAGTCTGAAAAGTAATCCCAATCTTTTCCGCCTCCATGCTCTCCTTGCTCTCCCCAGGTGGCTCAGATGGCCACGAAGCACCATCCTAATTTGGTGCGGCTGCTGGGTTTTGCAGTGGGTGGGGATGTGAACACGCGGGTGGAGAATGTTCTCATCTACGAGTTCATTCCCAATGGCGACCTGCAGAGGTGGATCGGCCAAGGTACAGTTCTGAACATCAAATGTGTCGCATGAAGTTTGGATGCCAGTACCCAATGGAAGCTTGAAATTATACTCATTTGTGGACTCAGGGTGCAAGGCACAGCCAATAAAAGTGCATGTTCTATTCATTCCCAGATGCCCCCACGAATCTGACTCTGCAGCAGCGGGTAGACATTCTCATAGGGGCTGCACGTGGCTTGGAGTATCTCACAGCTTTGGCATTGTGCATCGCGACATCAAGCCAGCCAACATCCTCATCGATGCCGACATGCAGGTGAGGTTGGTGATGGAATGAATGAAACCTGCGTGCAGGTGGGGTCTGTTTCGTTTAAGTCCATAGGAATGTGGGATGATGAGGCGCTCCAGCCATCTGGAGATAAGTGATTCTGAACCCATGATGCTAAATCTTCTGCAACTGTCATCTCAGCACATTGGAGTGGCTAATCCTTGCCCTTCCAAAGCACATGGTGCAGCGATGCTCTCCCTTGATGGCTACTGCCTCTTGTCTTGTCTGCTGTGCCCTCTTTCCCAGGCTAAGGTGGCAGACTTTGGACTGGTGCGTGTGGGAGAGGGCACTACAATGGGCTACACGCGAGTGCTTGGAACAGCAGGCTATGTGGACCCCGCTTACTCCAGAACACACAACGCCACCACCGCGGCTGATGTTTACAGGTGACTAGCTGTGCTGATGTTTACAGCTGCGGTATTGAGCCTGCCTTTTCAAAGCAAACACGTATACTAGAATTCAATTCCCTGCTACCCTCTGTTTTCCGTCTTTTGCTCACATGCTACCGGTGGATGAAATCTGGGTTTTCTTCTTCCACTGGCTTTCCAAGTCTTGGAACATTCTCCTTTTGTTTTTGTTGTACTTTCCAAAATAATGCTGTCATCTTGGAACATACCTTGGAACACACTGTTGGACAAACTCACTTAAGTTGGCGGCCTACTATCCCAAGTTGGTTCGTTGCCAAACCACACCAACTAGCTGTTTGGATTCCCAACCAAACAAAACCAAACCAACCATCTAGGTGGTGAATTCTTGTTCGCGTTGATCGTGCAGTCTTGATTGCTCTCATGATCACTTTTCATCTTTCTAGCTCTAGGAAAACTGGTCCTTGGCTATGCTACTTCCTCGCTTTCCAAATATTATTGTTTCTCCCGTGTTTCCCGTCAGCTTTGGCATTCTAATGCTGGTGATGCTGTCAGGCAGAGGAGCCACAATCAATGAAATCAACCCGCGCAATGAATCAGACAACCCTGGCGACCGATCACCAATTTCCATTTCCAAATGGGTAGGTTGCTTGCTTTCACACTTGCTTGGTTGTATCTATAGCATGAGTTTTTTATGGCTCTACCTGCAGTTGTTTGCGTTTGCACTCGTCAATGCTTTTATATTCGGGTGTGCCCATCGTGTGTGTTTTCTGCCCCCACCCAACAGGCAACTCATCTCATGGCTAATGAAATGACATCACTTCTTGGGGACCCCAGCTTGGCAGCACCTGATGACATCATCAAGCGCATTACCCAGCTGGCTGTGAGCTGCACTGCTATGCCCACTGCCTCCCGCCCCTCCATGCTTCGAGTGGTCCAAGACTTGGAGGCTTTGAGGGAGGAAGTGGGAGGCGGGGATGCGAGGGCGAGAGTGTCGGCAAGGATTGATGCGATGTTGGTGAGCCAGGAGTCTAGGAGAAGTATGGAGGAGGATCTTGCATTGGTGGCAGAGCAGTTCGCTGACACGGGCACAGTTATAGCTAGGGTCCCGAGCCATCCGGAGAGCACTGACTCCAGTGCAATGGCAGATGAAGGGGTCTCCTGATTACCGTAATCCCCTGTACATAACACCCTATGGTGTATATAAAAATTCACTAAAAAAATGACTGGGTGTTAACAGTGGCCCGGAAAAATATAGTGCCCATGTGTTATGTAAAATGCAATTTGAATTTCAGTGTTTCAGGCCATGTGTGTTCACAAATGCGTGGAGCGATTGTTAGCGAGGTACAGCATCCGCTAAGACGAAACTCACGAACTAGGCGTCATTGGCCAATCCATGCTGAGTGCTGTGGTCAGGGCCAGGTTCGTGCCGCACCTGCGACCATAAAGACCTGAGGATTTCGCTCGGGAGGATTTTGACCGTCAAATCACAACAGAATCCGCGACTTCGACGGTCGAAATCCTCCCAAGTCTCGACCTTTGCTGACGTTTCGATTTCGCGCTGCAACTTGTGTTGATGTTTCTGCCCGTTTCTTCGCTGCTAATGGAAGTTGACATTGCGTTTTTCATCCTGTTTTTTTTTTTTTTTTTTTTCAATCGAGCTGAGCTTGAAAAACTACGAAATATTGTTATGTGCTGCATAAAACGAGGAGGGTGTTATGTAAAATGTGAAATAACTTGTCCAATGTTGTAGAAGATTAAGTATAAAACTGCAAACACGAACACTTGGAAATCCTCAAGTGTTGGTCCAGGATCTTTACTGGAATGGTAGACTAGTAAACAGTGAAGTCTTGTAAGAATGAACCTGAGTATATGTTTCTGCAGAAGTTTTAAGTCTCAAAGTTCTCAAAGTTGAAATCTCAAGGTTAATAATGAAAAGAACACAACAAAGATTCATAGCTCTAGAAAAGTACATATTCGCTAAATGTATCTGTTCGTCACTATCGCGCTATGCGCTCTAAACGATAATGAAGAGGTGCGACTGTTCGCGTGACTGAAACGACTGTCCTATGACGAGCGCTATTTGCTGACGTCATCCTACGGACTTATGTTCTAACAGTAGGATTCGACACTATCTACACCTAATCGACTTACAGAAATGCTAAGTATCAATTATATCACAACACTCCCCTTCATTTCTGGAAGTTCGATAGTGTCACTTCTTGAAGATCCCGCAAAGCTTGTTACAGTAAATGGAACTTCTGTCGTGTCAGCTTCTTCGCGAGAAAATCGGCAGCCATTTCGTTGGTCCAGAACAGTAGACCAATCGCATTCTCCCCTTCTCGACTTCATCCTTGACGAAAAAGTAACGCAGAGAAATATGTTTCGTCCTGTTGACGAAGCCAGGCTGAGTGCGCGATGCGAATTGCACTTTGGTTGTCGCACTGCAGGGTAAATTGGGTAGTCGTCGTCAATTTCGCTTCTTCCAATAGTTCCAGTAAGTAAATGTTAACGTAGAAACGAATGATTACTAGAGGTGGAAACCTAGAACAAATACTAGTTGGTTGTACTCACTAGAAGCATACCTCAGTCTAGCCTATAACTTCTACATAGATAATATGTATAAGTTGACACACCCCCTAGGCTAGACAAGGGGTGAAACTAAACAAAGAAGCCAAACAGCTCAGGGCGGCACTACTAGTCCAACCACTGAGGCAGGGGTCTGGAGACCAGTCAGCAAGAATACAACCAAAACTGAAGCAAGCCAGGGTGGCACTACTAGTCCAGCCACTGGAGGTAAGGCCACAAGGCCAGTCTGACAAGCATATATAATAGAGAGTACACAATCAGGATCCTAACAGGGGAGCAGCTATAGGAACAAGACCAAGCTGTACACAGTGCCGCTGATGATCTTTAGGCGCAAGCGCCTTAGTAAAGATATCAGCTGTGTTGGCACCTGAGGCCAAGTGAACTACGCGGGCCTGGCGGCGCTGCTGTAGCTCGCGCAGGAGGAAGTACCGCAGCTGGATATGCTTCGCTCTGCCCTCAAGCCGAGGCTCCTGACACAGGAGTATCATGGCCCTGTTGTCAGCGTACAGGACCGGGGCAGAGCTAGGCCGCTCACCTAAGTCTGTGAGCAAGAAGGTCAGCCAGCGGAGCTCCTGTGCCGCCATGGCACCAGCGTAGATCTCAGCCTCACAGCTAGACTGAGCCACAGACGACGAGCGAGTGGATCTCCAAGAGATAGCACCCGAACCAAGGCTGAAACAGTAGCCCTGCGACGACCTGAGCGTCTCAGCGTCGTCTGCCCAAGAAGCGTCTGTGTGCCCAGTAAGGACCACTGGCCTGCGTCCTCCTAGCACTAACCCCATGCCTGATGTACTAGCAAGATAACGCAAAACCCTCTTAGCGGCAGACCAGTGCTGAGGTCGGTGTCTGCCTGTAGCCACAAAGCGAGCCAGGATGCTGAGAGGGTATGCGAGATCTGGGCGAGTGCAAGTCATCAGGTACATGAGGCAACCCACCAGCTCTGCGTAGGGGCCACTGGGCTCTACTGGCTCCTCAGGAACGGGAGCAGAGAGCCCATGGTCTACGGGTAGAGGTGTGGGCTGTGCGGAGGAGAACTGAAGACCGAACCTCTGAAGGACCTGACGCACCAAGTGTGACTGGGTCAGAGTGATGGTGCGTGCTGCTCTGTCCCTAGAGATCTGCAGGCCAAGATAGCGACGCAGCTCTCCAAGGTCAGTGCAGGTGTGTCTCTTCAGCAGCTCAGCCTTCACAGAGGCCAGTGCGTCCCTGTCAGGAGTAGCAAAGACCAGGTCGTCTACGTAGACAAGGATGTAGAACGGAGTCTGGCCGGAACGCACAAACAGTGAAGGGTCAGCAGAGGACGGAAAGAACTGCAGGTCTGCTAACGTGGCACGTAGCGTGTCGTGCCACTCGCGGGGAGCCTGACGCAGGCCGTAGACCGGGCGCCTGAGAAGCCACTGGGTCCCAGGAGGGAAGGTACCAGTGAAGCCCTGTGGTCGGCGCAGGTAGACCTGCTCGTGTAGGCTGCCCTGAAGAAAGCAGTAGAGAAGTCGAGAGAGTGAAGCTCGTAGTCACGCTGTGCTGCTCACGTGTAGCAGCGCCCGAAGAGTGGTCATCTTCGGGGTCGGGCGAAGGTCTGGAAGAAGTCAACCCCCTCGCGCTGACTGAAACCTCTGGCCACGTAGCGCGCCTTGAAGACAGGCGGCTCTCCAGGGGGGCGCTTCACCTTGAAGAGCCACCGACCATCGACTACGTTCACCCCAGGCGGGGGAACTGCGTCGACGTAAGTGCCGGTGGATCTCCAAGATGCCATCTCCTGCTCCATGGCAGCTATCCACTGAGAGGCCCAAGGTCCCGAGGTGGCCTCAGCGTAGGTGCGAGGGGTCGGGATGTCGAACGGCGTCTGGGTCACCCTCAGGGACTAACAGCATGGAGCAGAGATGGGGAGCAGCCTCGGAAAGGAAAGCCAGCTCGTACTGCCTGTCCTCTAGGACGTCACTGCCAAGGGCAGGAGCACCCCCGACGGACAGAGACGGGCAGGGTCAGAGACCAGAGCGGTAGCGTAGTCAAGGCGGCGGGTAGAAGCGAAGTCAGCGACAGCAGCGACAAGCGCGTCAAGGCGCGAGACAGGAACAGCAGGGTCGGTAACAAGAGAGGCAAGGACCCGAGGGACAAGGGGACGAGCAGCACGGAGGTAGTCAGAGAACGGAGGAGGTGCAACAGCAAGGGACGAGGGAGGAGGGGACGGGAGGAGGGGAGGACGAGACGAGTGGGAACGGAGCAACATAGGGTGGGTGGGCAGGACAGGAGAGACGGGACGAGCACGGGAGGGACGGCGAGCCCAAACGTGAGACGGAGGGGTAGGGTCAGGGGACAGCGGAGGAGACACAGGAGGGGAACGAGGAGGAAGACGGGCCGGAGACGAGTCTGGCGGCGGGAACACAGGACCGTAGACAGGGAGGTCAGGAGGCGGTGGGGGAGACACCGGCGCGCGGTCCGGGGAGGGAAGGCCGAGCAGGCGGAGAGCGGAAACCGGCGGCGACGGCTGCTGTGGCGGCGACGACGGCTGGGCCGGAACTCTCGGACCAGCAGAGGCAGAACGACCGTCGGCAGAACACTCAACAGCAGCACCCCCAGAACCAACACCCCAAGAGCGAGAACCCCCTCCAACACCAGCGGCACCCCCAGAAGCCGCAGGACGAACACCCTCCTCCACACCAGCACCCCCAGGGGCCGAGAGCAGCGGCGGCAGTGGCGGCGACAGCGGCGACGGCTGCGGCGGCGACGGCGACGGCGGCGGCAGCGGGGTCGGCGACTGCGACAGTGGGGGCGGAGGCACTGGGGAAGGGGGACGCGGCAAGGACGGACCGGGGGTACCACCAGAGTCAGCAGACTCCTCAACGGGGACAACCGACGGGAGGGGAGTGACGTGGGAGACACCAGACGGGGCAGGACGAGGCGGGAGAGGGGCAGGGGCTACCGGGGAGAGGGAGCAAGGAAAAGGGGGGGGGCAACTGGGAGACCTCGGTGAGGGAAGCGGCGGTAGAAGGAGACGGACTCGTCAAAGGTGACGTCACGAGAGTGGAGGAAGCGGTGAGACGGCGGGTGGTAGAAAAGCCAGTCAGACGAGTCCAGGGGGAAACCGAGGAAGACACAGGGGACAGTGCGGGCAGTGAGCTTGTCCGTGCCAGAGGCACGAACGTGAGCAAGGCAGCCCCAGACGTGGAACGCAGACGCGTCACCGGGGGACCCGGTCCAAAGGAGGGTCGGCGAAACCTGCGGCCGCTGGGAGCGTGGCCACAGGTTAAGCTGGTGAGCCGCGTAGCGAACAGCGAACGGCCACAGAAAATGGGGGGCATCGGCATGGATCATGGAGGTACGGGCGACCTCCATGACCAAGCCGATGCGGCGCTCAGCAACCCCATTCTGCTGTGGCGAGTCCGGCAACGTGTACGACTGGGTGATGCCCTCCGCACGACAGAACTGTCCAAGCCGACCAGAGGCGAACTCGCCGCCACGGTCGGAGTGGAGACACAACACGGGGAGACCGCGGTGGAGACGCGCAGCTACAACCCACGGGAGAAGAACGTCGGGCACGTCGGCCTTCCGCTCCAGGGGAAACACCGTGGTGTAGCGCGTGTAGTCGTCAACGAGCACAAGGAAGTAGCGCTCACCGCGCGGTCCGGGGACGGG